TAGTGGGGCGGGGAGGAGAGAAGAGGAGAGGGTAGAGGAGAGAGGGAAGGAACAGTGAGCCTGCAGGTTGGATTATAGGCAAGGATGAATGACAATGAAAGTGGGGGAGGAAGGAATTGGAAGTGAAAATCGGGAGGGGGTGAGGGAGGTGTGTGGGGGGAGGGACAACGAGGGATGGAGAGGGAGGAAAGAAGGAAGAGAAGGGGACAGGGACGAATGCAGTCGATCTAGATTTCTTACTCTGTCCTATCTTGCCTCAACTGGCTTCCCTTCTCGGCTTCTCCTTCCTTTCCCCCTCTCTTCTCCTCCTTGCTCATTTTGCACACCCCTTCCTATCTCCTCTGCTCGTCCCTTGTTCCATCGACTCGAGATATCTGTCTTATGTCTGCAGCAGCTTGCAGCCTGTAAGGGCATGGCCAAGGATTGTCAACAAGACAGAGACGACGTAGTCGAGAAGACCAAGTCTCTATTGGAGGTGATGATGACGCTGCTAGTGTGGAGGTGGCAGCAGCAGTCTGACCGAGCTCGCTCGCTCTGTGCTCAGTTTTACTTCGGGGACAGCAACCTGCTGAAAGATCGTTTCCTGAAGGAGGCTATCGAGAAAGACGACCTGGGGTCCTGCTATCGCGGAGGATGGGGAGGAAAAACTGATGCTGCTGTTTCACAGGCTCGTTCCCATTGAGGTGCTGAAAACCTTCAACAAGCTCAAGGTGCTCACCGATGGCAACGAGGAGACGATTCGAGATGCAGCAAAGACAAGCAAGGAGCTGCGGGTGAGCGAAGACGGGAAGAGAATAGGTGTTGTGCTCGCAATGAGTGTAGTTGTGTTGGTTGTGGTTGAGGAGGTTGGCAGGACGGTTGAAGCCTCTCCCTCGGCTCGATGACACCAGGCCGAGGACGATCTATGTTGAGGGGATTGCTCCATCTTCTACACACGAGGAGATCAGCAGCTTCATGTCAAAGTGGGGAAAAGTTTGCTACGTCAGTCTCCCAAGGTAAAGAGAGGAGAAGCGGAGAATGAAGAGGACGGGAGGAGAGGAGAGAGGGGAGGGAAGAAGAGAGAAGAGACGAAGGTGGATGAAAGGAAACTCGTGCAAGAGTTGACGAGGAGAGGAAACTAAAGTTGCAGTAACCAGCACCATCGGAGCACAACAGGCAAAGATACTGGCAGAGTCAGCATTGTTGAACATGGAAGTGAGGAGGATATTAGCTTAGAAAGTATTCAGGAGGGGGATGTGAAATATCAAGTTTAGGTCCCCAGTATGGCTGGAAGAAGCTGGAGAGAGGAGGATGTGTAGTTTCTATTCGGGCTTCACATAGTGTTTAGAGACTCTGAACCTGCCTAGGTTCAAAGACCAGGACGGAAATCCTGGCAAGACGAAAGGGTTCTGTTTTGTGGAGTTTGAGCATGTGGAGGAGGCAAAGAAAGCTGTTGGAAGCATAAAGGAGGAGCAGCAGAAGCTGTCCAAGGACTGCGAGAGTTTCTTGAAGGCCTTGGAGAAGGTGACTGAGATCGGGGCTTAGTTTCTCCCTCCCTCTCCTCCGTCTCTCCTCTCCTCAGTCTCTCCTCTTCCTCCGCCTCCTCTCCTCCGCCTCCTCCCTCTCTCCTCTCTGATCCATCTCCTCTTCCTCCGTCTCCACTATCTCCATCCTTTCCTCCGTTGCTCTCTGCCTACTTCCCATACGTTTCTCCCTGCCTCCCCTTTCTGATCCCCGTGCCCTCTTCCCTCCCATGCTTCCTCCCCCCGTCTCTCCCTCCCTCCCTCATGTTGGCATGGCAGGAGGAGTGGGAGAGAAGCAAGCTGGAGTATCGCAAGCAGCAGCAGCAGCAGCACTTGGAGGAGACTCGCCCTCACCGTCTCTTCGACCCTGTAGCCTCCTCCCTCTCGCTTCACTTCTCATCCCCCCTTCCAGGGCCTCGTTCTCCGTTTCTCGGGTATTGGAGTCACGCCAACGTCATCCAAAGTATGACAAACACACACACGCGCACACGCACACACAACATCCTCCCCTCCCCTCCCCTCCCCTCCCCTCTCTCGCTCTCCCACTCTCCCACTCTCCCACTCTCTCAGTCTCCGCTCCG